TAAAGACCTCTGCTTCTCCAACCGATCCATCCCGGACAACATCCGTGCCCAAAACCACAACCAGTTCTCCGCCGCTTGGATGCCTATGTCAACTCAATGGCGAAAACTCCGCAAAATCTACAATTCCCACGTTTTCGCCGCTCAACAACTCGACGCAAACCAACACCTACGGCATCAAGTGATGCAAGGACTGATCGCCGAGGTTCGCGAAAGCTGCGAGCTAGGTGTGGCAGTGGATATTTGCAAAGTAGCATTTAGAACAACGTTTAATTTGCTGTCGAACACAATTTTTTCCATGGAATTGTTGGATGATCGGAACAGGGACATTGCACGGGAGCTGAAGGAGGCAGTGTGGAGTTCCATGGAGCACTTCGGCACGCCCAACTTGTCAGATTACTTCCCTGTGTTGAAGAAGATTGATCCACAAGGTACGTATTAGGCGCCAAACTACTTCTGACTTTGGAAGGCTTATTGCAGTCTTTGATCGTTTGATTGATCAACGATTGGAGTTGAAAAAAACACAGGGTTGTCTCTCAAGAAATGATGTGTTGGAGGCTCTTCTTAATATCAGTGGAGTTAATCAGAGTGACTCTATCGATCTAACTCATATCCAGCATTTGTTGCTGGTTAGTACTCTTTCCAATTGTTGTCCCTCTGGCCAGGATTTGTAGGGTGAATTATAGGATTAAACGCTAGCACTATATGAGTCCGGACTCATATAATGTTAGTGTTTAGTTATAATTTTTGTTATCTCGATTAGATTTTAATGGATACTGATTCTAACAAAATTAGTAGATTTTTTAATGATACAACTAATAATACAAAATAAATCTATAATTTAAATTATATATTTTTATATTTATTACAAAATAAATGTTAAAAATAGGAAATTATTTATTCCACTAATCAAGTTGGATAATCAAGGAGATTTTTTTTTTAACGTCCCTAATATTAAGATTTTATAAGATAAAAGACATGCAATATTTTCATAATAATTGGGGTCCCTCAACATTTTCACAGAGAAATTTCGGCACAGAGTGATTTATTATTCAATGAATGATTGACAAATGATCACTAATATTAATCTAATCCCATTATAACCTTTGTTACTTGGTAGTTGTACAGAAGCAAATCATTTAAAATTGTATTTACTCTTTCTATTTCTATCCATCCCAGAGATTCCTCCTTTATTATTCCAGTACAAGTAAATATAAATGGCACAATCATGGATAGGGAACTATACTAGCGACCTGCCCAATTTATTGTAGAAATTTTTAGGATCAATTATTGGACCATGCAAACTATAAATACTTTTTCTTGGATAAAGGAAGAAATTACTCGATCCATTTTCGTATCGCTCATGATATATATTATAACTCGAACATCCATTTCAAGTGCATAACCCTTTTTTGCACAGTAGGGTTATGAAAATTCACGAGAAGCGACTGGGTGTATTTTATGTGCCAATTGCCATTTAGCTAATAAGCCCATGGATATTGAGGTTCCACAAGTGGTACTTCTTGATACTGTATTTTAAGCAGTTGTTCGAATTCCTATGATATGCAATTGAACCAAGTTCTTGCTAATGGTAAAAAGAGGGCTTTGAATGTGGGGGTTGTTCTTATTTTACAGTCGGTGAATGTATGATTTTAAAGAAATATAATTGACTATTGGCGACCAAAATTTTGGTCGCTAAAGACATGCTTTTTGCCGACCAAAGGTTTTTTGGTCAGCAAAACCCTCCAAGACCTTTCCTGATAGGGTTTTGGCGACAAATGTAACGACCAAAATTTTTGGTCGCAGAATGTCATTAGCGACCAAAAAACAGGCAATTGGCTACTAATATTTTAGTAGCTAAAAGTAACTTTTTTTGTAGTGTGGTCAAAGGTTATTTCCGGCAAAAAAATGGTGGTCAAACGTGGATTATCGCTCATGAGAGTTCGTTGTTAGCAACCAAAGGTGGTTGTTAATCTTTAGAGTTGGTGGTTGGCAGCCAAAAGTGATTATTAATAGTGAGAGATGGTGGCCGGAAGAGGTCATCGGCGATATTGGTTAGAAACGGTAGTCAATAGTGTTGAAGATCGGTGGGTGGTGGGTAAAGGAGGAAACAATGAAAACTTTGTTTTTAAACAAATGAAACTAACTTTTTCATAGTTCTAAGAATTTATTAAATTTTGTAAATTATTTACAAAATTTTTAAATAAAAATAGACACCATACGAGTTTTTATTTACAAATTTTAAATATTTTATAAATATAAATAGAAAAATTATATACATAATGTTTCCAAACATGCCTACTTTTTATTTTCATTTTTTTTAAAACTAGAAATGAAAATTTGTCACGTATATTATTTTTGTTTTAAAAAAAGTGAAATTAATTTAAATTTTTTGAAAAGAAATGTTTTTTCTCCTTTTCAAAATAATTTGTCACTCTCTCCTCCCCATCCACCACCACCCACTGCCAATCGTCAGCCAATCAGCTGACCACCCAACCATCAGTGAACTATGACTCCACCCACCACCAATCGTCGACCAATCAATCAACCAATCAACCAACCAACCAACCATCAGTGAAATCTAACCAGTCACAAGCGACCATCAATGAGCTTCGGTAACTAGCTTAGTCACCACCCAAGCTATACGACATTGGATTCGTTTCATTCTATTAGAGGATCGGTTCGGTCCCATATTCAAAATTTGGAGCTGATCATGATTGGTTAGTTTCTAAATTTAGTGTTAATCGAAGCAAAACCAATTCTTGCAAACCCTATAGCTTTACACTAAACCAAATTTATATTTATATATTGAAATTATGGACTTTTTTTTTTTTTGACTTTTTTTAGTACATGGTGTTTTTTTACTTTTTATTTCCATATAAGGTCATGTTAGTACATAAAAAAATCGTCACAAAAAAAAATGTCATCTCTGCACTACAAAAAAAAATATCCTTACATTTTTAGCGACTAGACTGTTTTGTCGCTAAATGTAATAATGATGCGACAAAACTTATCAGTGATTAAACGTTTTATTTAAAAACTTTTGGCAACTAAAATTTTAGTTACCAATTGTTGTGTATCGATGACAAATAGAAGCTTAGTCACTATATATTTTTCCCAACAATTGGTCACCGACTAATCTGCCGACTAAATGATTTAGTTTGCCATAAACCTTTGGTGGCTAAATTTCCAATTTTTAGCAACAAAAAATCTAGTCGTCAAAAGTGTCATTTGTTGTAGTGATGTTTTAGTTTGAAATTTTTTTAATCATACAGAATTATTCACCAAAAAGAAAAAAAATGGGTCTAGCATGATACAACTCATGATTGTTGTCACTACAAGAAAAAACACTTTTGGCGACTACCTATTTTGAGTTGGTCACAAATAGTCTACTTTCTGCGACTAAATTTTTTTTTATCACTGATGGGTATGTTTTCACGACCCACAATTTTTTGGTGGCAAATAGCTAATTTTTGGCCACCAAATACAAATCTGGTCGCAGAAGGTCGTCTTTTGGCGACCAAAAAATAAGTTGGTCGTGAATGACTTAACTATTGGCAACCAACTACAAATTTAGTTAGTTTATTATTTTATTTTTATGCTCAATAAAATTTTAGGTAGTTGAATTTGTATAACATTACTCTATTAGTTTGTTTAGGACATATTTATTGCGGGGACAAGACAACTCCAAGCACAATGGAATGGGCAATGGCCGAGATACTACACAACCCAAAGACATTATTCGAAGCACGAGTGGAGCTTGAGAAAACAATTGGCAAAGGCAAACAAGTCAAAGAATCAGACATCCCTCAGTTATCATATTTGCGAGCGATTGTCAAAGAAACCTTTAGGAAACACCCAACAGTTCCATTGTTAGTTCCTCGCAAAGTTGAAGTAGATGTTGAAGTTTGTGGATTCACCGTTCCAAAGGGTACACAAGTGCTTGTGAATGCATGGGGTATTGGCCGTGATCGAAGTACATGGGAAAGTTCAAACTTGTTTATGCCTGAGAGGTTTTTGGGTTCACGAGTTGATGTTCGGGGACAAGATTTTGAGCTCATTCCATTTGGTGCAGGAAGAAGAATATGTCCTGGATTGCCATTAGCGATGAGGATGCTTCACTTGATGTTGGGTTTGCTCATATACTCATTTGATTGGAAGCTTGTAGATGGGATTTCTCCTAAGGAAATGAACATGGAGGAGAAGTTTGGCTTTACTTTGAAAAAGGCTCAGCCTCTTCGTGTTGCCCCTGTTTACTTGTAGGCTTTTAGTTACCTTAGTTCGGGGGGTAGCTCAACAATAATGCTAGGCGTTGTGAAAGAAATATCATGAAAAGCCTTCGTGAAGATTCTCCACCCTTGAATTAGTTTGTAGTGTTTTATTATATGTTATACAATCACCCTTAGATTAATTTCATGAAACTTTTCAAAATATTTATTTCATGATGCGTAACATTACTTGTAACTCAAACTGCCAATTCAATAATTCCAATTGTCAATCTTTATAATCCTTGTAGGGGTGCTGGTGCTTTAAATTTTGTGTATATTTCTTTGCTTTCATGCTTCTTCTGTGTGTTCTTATCTAGTTGCTAATGTGCTCTACTCTGCTTTGCTGATATGTGCATTCTGAAGGGATGCTTTTTGGGATTTGGGTGACCAAGTTTTGTGGCAGATTGGTATTGAGATGCTGAAATTGTAGTTGTCACTCTTGTTTTTGTGATTGAAATTGTAATTGAATATTTGAACTATAAGGTAATAAAGTGTTTTGATGCAAAAGTACTGGAGAGTAAAGTAAATTTTCTCTTATTATTTTTTCATATTGTCGAAAACAAACTGAAAAGTTCAAAGCCACTCTTCTACTGTAACCATGTTCATGCGTAGTAACTTTTATATAAGTGAACAAATATGAACAAATAACAAGAAAATATCAACAATTATATGAGAATACACAAATTAAGGTATGTTTGTATATTAAAGATGGCAAGCAGCTAAGAAGTCACCGGACTAGGGTTTGTTCACAAAAGAAGATATTCGTTCAAGCATTTCTTGAGCATATTTTGAATCTGGAAAGTTCAATTGAAAGACATGAGTCCCTGGAGTCTCCATAATTTCCACATTTCCTTTCCAACCATTTGTACGCAATGCCTCATAGTAATAGAAACCCCTATCTCTGTATATATCTTGCTCAGCTATTAAAACTAGAACCTTGCTACATCCAAGGGTGGACAACTTTGGATCCACAAGTGGGTTAAGTCTTGGATCATCCAATCCAAATGCATTTCGTGAATTAATCAACCAAATATTGTCTGCTTCTAATCTCGAAGTAGCATCGCTGGATTCATGAGTTCCAATTGGTTTGCTTCCCCAAAAATATGGGTGGATTAGAGCAATTCCATTAACATTGAGACCATCTAATTTCTCTGAACCTGCTCTCATGACCATGTTGTATGCAATGTTAGCACCTGCACTATCTCCAGAGTAGAAAATTCGTTTAAAATCAACATAGTTATTTAGCCATTCCTCATGACCATGTCCGGCAGAGTGAGAAGCAACCCACTTGATTGCTTCCCATGAATCATCATAAGGAATGGGGAGAGGATTCTTCGGGCCTTGTCTATAGTCAACAGACAATGCAGCAACATTAGCTTTCTTAACAAGAGAATAAACGTAAGTATCGTGGGGAGGAAAGAAGGCGCTGTACATGCCAAAGCCTCCGCCATGAAAGTAAACTACGAGAGGAAGTTTTTTATTAGGATTGGCAGACTTGGGAACGTAAAGCCTAGCACATACACCATTCACGATTTCTACATCTTTGTAATTGGCCTCGGGCTTGGGAAACGGCGGTGCGATTTTCAAAGTTTCACATTCGCTTGAAACTACTGCGAAGAGAGGGTACAAAAAAAGACATGCTAGGATTTTATAAGTCATTTGTCTTTGGTAGTTGATATGAGAGAAAGAGAGAAAGATGGACATCTACAGAGAGATAGAGGGTGAAGTTGGATATGTTTGGTGGTGGCATTTAGGTTATTTATATATGGTGGGACTGATATTTAGTTTCCCATTATTGATTGACTTCTTTTCAATATCCAACCTGTAGTTACTAAGAAAAAAAAATGACATCGTTTTCTATATAATAATGAGACTTTTTCAAATATCCAACCTGTAGTTACTAAATGTAACATTAATAATTTTTTGATAAATTATAAATATATTTTTGAAATTTACTTAAATTACAAATTGCCTCATGTGATTTAAAAAATTATAAATACTCTCTTATTAAAAAAAATTAATTTAACAAAATTAACTAAAAAAATAAAATTCGTAATTACTTTCTTATACAATAATTAAATTACGATTTATTATGATATCAGAAATCTCAGGATGAAATATAATTTCCAATACCATAAGGAGCGATTCGTATTTTAGTCAGATTTTAAAAGTGTATTTATAATTTACCCTTAATTTTTTCGCTCAATAAAAAAAATGGTTTTATAACAACTTCTCAAAGGTATCAAGTCAAAAGGCTTTTAAAAATTCAAAAAAAAAATTAGAAAGTCACAGAAAAGCAAACTGCAAATGCCTACTCACTTTTCAAATCAAAATGAATTGCGACCTTGACTTCTTTTACTAGTTCGGATTTTTGGGACTACCAAGATAACTGAGAGATGTAGTATGGTTTTGTTCAATTGGTTCATTTGCATATACAAAGTAATGGATTCAAGCGAAAGAAAAGATAATAAAAAATAGGTATTCACTAATATAAAATGAATAAAAATTAGATAAATTAACAGCAGTCTTAATAATTAAACTTAATTTTCATTAAGTCTTATTAATTCGTCCCTGAAAGTTGGTCCTATCATAATCGTTGCAAAAAAAATACTTTTGTGATTATTTTTTGAATCTGTCGTTAAAAATTAATAATTAGTAAAAATAAAAATTATGACCATTTTTTTAAATTATTGCTAAAAAATAAGTGCATTTATTTAGGGTTGAGCAAGGAATCCGTAAAATGCGTAATCTGATCCAGTCCAGTCCAATCCAGTAGGTTTGGATTAGTTTTTTGAATCCGTGGTTCGGTTCCAGATTGAAAAATTAAAAATCCGTAGTTCACGGATTGGTTCCAGATTGAACCCCACGGTTCCGGATTGGAACCGATCCGGACCTTATACAAATAGTCTATATTTTTATTATACACCCTCCTGCATAGCATCTTCTCTTATTTCATATAAAACTTAAATCCAAACCTAAACTTGCATAATATCTTCTTTTATTACTTTTGTTTGTTAGCTTTTAGTGTTAATTTGTAATGGTCTAAATACTTATAGTGGAACTAGTTTTCTTATGGTTGTTCAAATTCTAGAACAGTTTGTCACTATTACGAAAAGACATGTTGTTATTATGAAACTAATATGGTGCTATATTTATATTTTTATGAAATTATAGTGTTATATATATATATATTTTTTGTTATTTAATTATGTAAATCCGTAGTCCTAAACCGATCTAATCCGTGTTTAAATGGATTTGTTCGGATTGGTTCCACGATTTAAACGGATTGGATTGGTTCCAATTTTTCAGGATCTGTAGATAACGGATTGGTCCTAGTTTTACTCCAATCCGATCCAATCCGGACCATACTCACCCCTACATCTATTGGACAATAAGTACATCTAGTAGAATTTAAACGTAAGTTCCCATTAAAATAGGTATAATATAAAGTGAATGAGCAAAATAATTTTCATGAGAGGCCTAGCAAGTTAATGTAAAACTACCTTACATTTTTCTAGTTAACTCTTTTATCCCTCTCTCTAACTGTTTAAGTTTAAATGAATTATACCTAACTTTGGACAAATCAAAATTTTGACCGTTTGAAATTTGCTTTCCAAAGCTAAATACATGAGTGAAGCCTTTTGAGGTTTGGTGATTAAAATGCCCCCCAAAAATTCCCTACTATATAGAATAATGTTAGGAATCATGAAAAAAATATCATAAAAATAATTATGAAAGATTTTTCACCTTTAGATTACACATACACTAAAACACCACACATTAATCAAATGATGAAAAATTTTCATGATGCATTTCATGATATTTTTTTCATGATCCCTAGTATTATTCATACTGTTATGGTTGTTTAGGAAGAATTTTTTAGTTTAATTTTTTAGTTTTTTTTACTAATTTAGCCTACCTAAATTAATTTCGTTTGAGAAGTACTTTTTTATTTTTAAATTTTTTTTACTTTTTTGTGAGAAAAAAGGTAAAATGATTATGATTTGGATATAACATTTTGTCCTATTGACTTATTTAGTCTATTTTATCTTTTTGTACTTTTTTTAGTCCCAACCAACTTCTGAAATGGGAACTAATTAAGGAGCAATTCGTATTTTAATCAAATTTTAAAAGTGTATTTATAATTTACCCTTAATTTTTTCGCTCAATAAAAAAAATGGTTTTATAACAACTTCTCAAAGGTATCAAGTCAAAAGGCTTTTAAAAATTCAAAAAAAAATTAGAAAGTCACAGAAAAGCAAACTGCAAATGCCTACTCACTTTTCAAATCAAAATGAATTGCGACCTTGACTTCTTTTACTAGTTCGGATTTTTGGGACTACCAAGATAACTGAGAGATGTAGTATGGTTTTGTTCAATTGGTTCTTTTGCATATACAAAGTAATGGATTCAAGCGAATGAAAAGATAATAAAAAATAGGTATTCACTCAATATAAAATGAATAAAAATTAGATAAATTAACAGCAGGCTTAATAATTAAACTTAATTCTCATTAAGTCTTATTAATTCGTCCCTGAAAGTTGGTCTTATCATAATCGTTGCTAAAAAAATACTTTTGTGATTATTTTTTGAATCTGTCGTTAAAAATTAATAATTAGTAAAAATAAAAATTATAACCATTTTTTTAAATTATTGCTAAAAAATAAGTGCATTTATTTAGGGTTGAGTAAGGAATCCGTAAAATCCGTAATCTGATCCAGTCCAGTCCAATCCAGTAAGTTTGGATTAGTTTTTTGAATCCGTGGTTCGGTTCCGGATTGAAAAATTAAAAATCCGTAGTTCACGGATTGGTTCCAGATTGAACCCCACGGTTCCGGATTGGAACCGATCCGGACCGTATACAAATAGTCTATATTTTTATTATACACCCTCCTGCATAGCATCTTCTCTTATTTCATATAAAACTTAAATCCAAACCTAAACTTGCATAATATCTTCTTTTATTACTTTTGTTTGTTAGTTTTTAGTGTTAATTTGTAATGGTCTAAATACTTATAGTGGAACTAGTTTCTTATTGTTGTTTAAATTCTAGAACAGTTTGTCGCTATTACGAAAAGACATGTTGTTATTATGAAACTAATATGGTGCTATATTTATATTTTTATGAAATTATAGTGTTATATATATGTATATATATATTTTTTGTTATTTAATTATGTAAATCCGTAGTCCTAAACCGATCCAATCCGTGTTTAAATGGATTTGTTCGGATTGGTTCCACGATTTAAACGGATTGGATTGGTTTCAATTTTTCAGGATCCGTAGATAACGGATTGGTCTTGGTTTTACTCCAATTTGATCCAATCCGGACCATACTCACCCCTACATCTATTGGACAATAAGTACATCTAGTTGGATTTAAACGTAAGTTCCCATTAAAATAGGTATAATATAAAGTGGATGAGCAAAATAATTTTCATTAGAGGCCTAGCAAGTTAATGTAAAACTACCTTACATTTTTCTAGTTAACTCTTTTATCCCTCTCTCTAACTGTTTAAGTTTAAATGAATTATACCTAACTTTGGACAAATCAAAATTTTGACCATTTGAAATTTGCTTTCCAAAGCTAAATACATGAGTGAACCCTTTTGAGGTTTGGTGATTAAAATGCCCCCCAAAAATTCCCTACTGTATAGAATAATGTTAGGAATCATGAAAAAAATATCATAAAAATAGTTATGAAAGATTTTTCACCTTTAGATTACACATACAATAAAACACCACACATTAATCAAATGATGAAAAATTTTCATGATGCATTTCATAATATTTTTTTCATGATCCCTAGTATTATTCATACTGTTATGGTTGTTTAGGAAGAATTTTTTTAGTTTAATTTTTTAGTTTTTTTTACTAATTTAGCCTACCTAAATTAGTTTTGTTTGGGAAGAACTTTTTCATTTTTAAAATTTTTTTAATTTTTTGTGAGAAAAAAGGTAAAATGATTACGATTTGGATATAACATTTTGTCCTATTGACTTATTTAGTCTATTTTATCTTTTTGTACTTAGTCCCAACCAACTTCTGAAATGGGGACTTATGTCAAATGGTTATACTGTTGTTGATCACATTAATTAAAAAGAGGTTGACTTCTCTACAGTTGACACATGTTTCATTTTAACGATTTGAGTTGTTCATTTTATTCTATTATGTGTGTAGATCATGTATGAAAAAATTAAATTGATCCGATTTGAGTTATTCATTTTATCCACATGTTTTGATGATTTTTGTCTGCAAAAAATAAATAAAAATAATAATTTTAAATAAACACCATCTACTTTTTTACCGATAAATTTGATAAAATCATTATATGATTCTTTTTCATAAATAATCTACCCTCACAGTTGAACAAAATAAATTATGGGGAACTTACTTATAAGTCTCATACACAAAGTTCAAAATTCATTTAGTCCCCAAAACAAAATATTTGCACCAATTAGTCCTATATATTTTTAATTGTTACCAATCAAGCGAATGAAAAGATAATAAAAAATAGGTATTCACTCAATATAAAATGAATAAAAATTAGATAAATTAACAGCAGGCTTAATAATTAAACTTAATTCTCATTAAGTCTTATTAATTCGTCCCTGAAAGTTGGTCTTATCATAATCGTTGCTAAAAAAATACTTTTGTGA